GATCTGAGGCGATTTTGGCATCATCACGAGAAAATGCGTTGGTCAGCAATGCATCTGCACATTCACTGCTTGTCTGAGGCAACCCCAAGTGCGACACTGTAGATTGGTCTTGCTGTTACGCTTCTCATGAGTCCTCTGCCAAAAGTATGGCAAGAACTGCAGCACGGGTTGTCAGATTTTAGAGTTGAGCCAGTTGCATGAAGTGTGTCTCACGCATGGATTCTTCAGCCTGGTTCAAAACCTGTAGCCAGCCCGCATCCCTGAGGCATTCTGTGGACTCTTCAATGTGAGTGTTAGTAGTCATACTTTTCTTGCATTATATATATAATATACTAGATTATAGTCTCATAAACTATACAACCTGTGCACAGCTTGGCAGACAAGCCTGATTTGGCTCGAGTGTCAAGGGGGGGTTAAGGGGGGTTCTTAGGCTTACTGTAATATATTGGGGTTATACAGGGATAATGGAAAAGAAAATTCAAACTACTACATAACGGTCCCAGTAATTTTCATGAACCAGACGAGGAATGGCTAGGAAGGTGACCTGGGCACCAGAGCGCTGACGAAAGCTTTGACAGGGCACAGCACAGGTTTTGAGCCTCCCCCCTGTTTTAGGTGTACGCTCTTGACTTGGAAATCAGATATCGTGAGCCAATTCCAGCATAGGCTAGAACATTGCTACGGCTGCTTTCGACTGTTTGCCACCATGGCACGCAGATGCTTCGAATTTGGTATTTGCGGCCTGGATGTGACATGCTCCAAAGACACCTTGCGAAGGCCGGAATATTGAGTCGACAGGATTGAGTTTTATCGCATGCTCCAGGGAGTAACCTGGCTGCTGCCGCTGTGTAGTTGGCAAAAGTGTGACGCCTGTGGTGCATGCATGCTACACATGATATGGGATTGTTTTTCATGGGCTCTTAAACCTGCCATCAGCTATGTAGCAGAAGCAAAGACATTCAAAACAGCAGATACAGCTTTGGCAACTCAAGCTCTGCAGTGTGAATCCCTTCGAAGACATAGAGGCAGAGAGAGCCTGCCAGGGTCATGACTCCACCGCGGGAATGCTTCGTCGTACCCGTGGCAGCATTCCAGCTGGCCTACCAGGGCTTTCCATGGCAGCCATCTGTAGGCTACCGGCTTGTTATTCAGGATCCTTCATTTACATTACCATAGTACGGATAAATGTTAAATGCAGGGGCTTCTATGTAGGGGTAAATACAACTTCCTTTGCAGCCCAGGCTATGAGTCTGGATCTTCCCTTGAGGGCAGGCGCTATCCGAATGGTGAGACTTACCCTGCGTGGCATGAGATTGATGACATGATTGCATCTCTGCCGGATGGAACTCGGCTTTCTTTCCACCTGAATGAGAGTGAGAAATGTCCTTATGTCAGTTCATTGCTGCAGGGTGCGGAGGATGCCCTCAAGTTAGTGGATGTGCTTTGCAACAAGTACCATGCGCGTCACATCCAAATCAATATTAATGCGCGTGGTGTGCCCCCGCAGCTGTTCACTCCCGGAGCAGACTCCGAGAAAAGTGCAATGCAGATTGCAAATCTGGCCAGCCAATATCCTGACACGCTGTTTGTCATGCCAGTATTCCGTAAAACAGATGCTGATGGTACGGTCGTTTCGGAGTCCTGGCCGTTTGTTCGCACCATCCTGGAGAGCTCGGCGGTCAAGAGCGACGACAAGAAGCCAGCAAGGACCTTAGTGCTTGCCGCGAAATTGGTTACAGTCATAGTATCCTTCAAACCCCTGTCCCTGACGTACGCAAGGCTTCCTGTTTCAGGCTGTGCGGAAACTGTTTAAGTTTTTCAGATTATGGCTTCTGCCAGGAATCCTTGCGCCGCGCGCCCTCAACCCTAAACCCTCAACCTTAAACCCTGAACCCTAAGCCCTGAACCCTGGACCCTAAACCCAGAATCCTACTAAACCCTGAACCCGAAACCCTGAATGCGCAACCCTACACCCTGAACCTTAAACCCTGAACATCCCTGAACCCTAAACCCCAAACCCGCGTAGGAACGTCGTTCCCTTCTTCGACAACTCTGGTGGCATGGGGAAGACTCCAGATGCCGTGCCTGAAATACCGCGCGAGTTCCCCAGAGAAGACGGCCAGGCGTGGTTAAGGATTTAGGGTTTAGGATTTAGGGTTTTGGGTTTGGAGTTTAGGTTTTGGGGTTTAGGGTTCGGGGTTTGGGGTTTGAGGTTTGGGGTTTAGGGTTTGGGGTTTAGGGTTCAGGGTTTGGGGTTTAGGTTTTGGGATATGTGCCTTGGGTAACTTAGGGTGTTTTCAAAATTGGGGATTCTAGCATTCTGGGGTCTATCTTGAAGTCCCCTACTAAGTGAAGCTACCATGTATCCAGGTTTGCCTGGAAGGAATGTAGGGGTTATATTGTAGATTTCTAGAGTTTCTGGTCAAGGCATTACGGTTCAGGGTCAAACGAAAATCATAGGCAAAATTGGAGAATCGAGTCGAAAAGGCAATGGCACATAAAATAGAAACTGGGGATAAGAAATTAAATGGTTGGACAGTTATTCACGGACATTTTGGGTTTAGGGTCAGGAAAAACTGGAGCAAGAAATGACAAGGAACATGCAACATTACATAGGGACTAGGGTTCTACAGTGGTCTACAGAGTTGAGGGCAGGGGAATCCAACTTACAGCCAGGCATCATCCTAGAGTCCTAGACCTATTATCATAGATGCTTTTCGTGGTTTGTCATATATCTATAGTCCCCCTTAAGTAGATAGGATATGGGGTAGATGGGGATCTTACTATAAAATGCCCCAACGCCATATTCTATCTACTTAAGGGGGACGATACCTAGTACGTGTCAGACGTGGAGCCTCAATAAACGCCCGGAAGAGGGCACTCATGACTGCATGTACTTATGTAGGGTTCAGTGCTGAGGAGAGGGGTCTGAAAGTCGTCAGGCTTAGGCAGACATGTGCAACGGAGTTACCAGTGTCTGTCGCCACAGCACGGATAGCAGGCGCTTGTCTGGGTAATGTGGGATGCTACTTCAAATAGACCCTAAAATAGTCTTGGTAATTAACTAGGCCCGCGGCACGCCGGTAGCGGTTCTTCCTCCATGGGTAGCAGGTAAGTACGTGTTGAGGCCCCTGCAGCAGCGCATTTTATGTCAGGATGGTGGCAGAGCTTGTTTATCCTTGACTGGGGCCACTGTCTCTGCAGTATAGCATAGCTTATTACAGAATATCACCCTGGCCTTCCCAGCAACTGGGTTATATGGTTCTTACAGAGTCGCATTCAACAGGGAGCTCACAATGCCTTTCAATCCGCATACATCCCTAGGGTCGCTGATGATGTCCCCCAATTTGAGAAACCCTCGAACTTGAACCTTCTGGCCTTTGGCTAGCCAGGAATAAAGGAATGGATCCTTTTAGTAGTCCCTGTATCATCCATTGTAGTATTTTTCATTTTCTTTCCCATCATCCTTGTATAACTCGAATATGTACCCTATAATCCCTATATAACCGGTGTAATCCCTGTAGTTTCCATTGTCTTTTCCAGTCCTTCATTTCCCAGCTAACCAATGGCCAGCCTTGGGAAAGTCTTGAGACTCCGCCTTGAAGCGCTCCATGCAAGCCCTTATAGGGATTATATAGGGGTTATATTAGAGTATTTGGGGGTTATTAATAGGGGATAATGGAAAAGAAAATGGAAACTACATCCTCTCACCTTCGAAGTTAGTTGGGAATGAAGGAATCGAAGAGAAAATGGCAATAGCTATAATGGGTTATATAGGGACTACTAAAAGTATCCATGCTTTCATTCCTAGCTAACCAAAGGTAAGTCCTTGAGCGCTGGGCATCGTCTACAAGTTGATACTTCCACGTTAGGAAGGTCCCACACCCAATTTTCTAAACCCGGAGCTCCGGACCCTAAACTTACTGGCGCTTAGTAGGGTTTAGGGTTTAGTGTTTAAGGTTTAAGGTTAGTAGGGAATACGGGAATATAGTAAAATACACCAAAATGGTACCCGTAATTATGGGAACCCAGGTATAGGGATTATTTTTGGATAGGGCCTATGTAGGGATTATTTTCCCTTCTTCCCTACTAAACCCTACTAAACCCTATAAACCTTACAAACCTTATAAACCCTAGACCCTATAAACAGCCCAAGTACATCCTTCAGCAGATGGTGGGGATGACGGGCGGCATCAATGCCTCCAACGTCAAGGACTGGCTGTCGAAGTATGCCGCAAAGGCCAGGTTTGTAGTTGCGCAGTCTTTGTTGATTTACGCTGTTTTTGGCTGAAGTGATCGCTTGTCAGTTTTAAAGGAGTTAGGTCTAGGTTAGTTCAGACTCGAGGCAGAGAAGGATCTGCGTTTTGCATTCTGCATGGCAGGCGGAAGAGCATGGCTTGGGCTGCATCAGCGATGCCCAGACTGGCTTCCGCGAAGGCAAAGATAGAGGCAAGCCAATCGATGAGAAGGCCTTAGAGGACCTCATGAGGAATGTGTATGAGCCCGAGCTTCTATAGGCACGTTTTTCATGTTCGAGACCACCCCATCCGTTGTGTAACGGTGATTATGACAAACCGGTCATCTTCCAGGATTTTAACCCAAACCCAAAGGCCTTATGCCTAAAACCCTAGACCCTAAACCCTAAACTCTCAAGCAGGGTAAACAGAAATTGTATTCACGCCCACCCACTTGACAGGGTTTTTCAGCAATAAATACTCAGCAAGTGAGCTTATTTTGGGCCAGAAAAGGCCCAGAAACCCAGAAAACGCCCAGAGGCCCGGGGCTTCTCGTGCGAGCAGGCCTAAAAGAGGCCCGAGGCCTTAAAAAAGGCACAGAAGAGGCCCTGAGGCCCAGAAAGGGCTGGGAAGAGGCCAGAAGTTCCAGAAGAGGCCCTGAGGCCCAGAAAGGGCTGGGAAGAGGCCAGAAGCCCCAGAAGAGGCCCCGAGGCCCAGAAAAGGCTGGGAAGAGGCCCAGAAGCCCACAAAAGGCCCATAAAAAGACCCGAAAAGGCCCAGAAGAGGCCCCGAGGCCCAGAAAAGGCTGCAAGAGGCACCCAAAAGCCCTTGTTTGGAGCAATTTTTTCAGGCAGGCTTGCAAAAAGACTGAAAAAGCACCTGTTTTGAGCAAAATCCAAAAAAAAACTCCGCAAAAACCCGCCCAAAACTCCGTCAAAACTCCGGACCTGAACCCTATACAATTTCTATAAACCCTAAATCCTTTGAGCCATGAAGGGTGAATTTCGTCCGAGGAGTGGGGCACGCCGGGCTCTGCAGCAAAGTGATGCAGTCTGGAGTATGCTAGGGTCTAGGGTTTAGGGTTTAGGGGCTTAGGGTTTAGGGGTACAGGGTTGGGGGTTTAGAGTTTAGGGTTTAGCGATTAGGGTATAGGGTTTGTAGGGGTAATGGACAAGGAAATGACTACTACAATTTAGGGACAAGAGTTTAGGGTTTGGGATTTTGGAATATGGCTTGTGGGGATATATACAAATATGTTTGGGATTAATGGGGTACCGGGACAGAAAATGAAAACTACTATTTGGGGTCACGGACAGGCTGAGGGTTTAGTTTTTAGGAACAGTATTTTGGGGACATATACGGATATCTTGGAGTTGTACGGGTGGTGGAAAAGAAAATGAAAACGTAACTGCTTCAGGTTTAGGGTCTAGGCATTGACCTCAGCACTGGGAATATTAAAGGTGTGGAGGACAGAGAAAGAGATAGCATCTATCTACCCTTTCACAGGTTGAAGAGGCTGTTGCCACTGGGGAATGGTATCCTGTTGCGGTGAGAAACAGAGTCCCAAGTCCTAAATTGTGCAAGCGCCTTCCTAACCCTAAACCCAGGCCCCTAGACCCGAAGCTCCAAACCCTACACCCGAAACCTCTTGAGCGCTAAAGTCGACAAAGCTAAAGACCTCGGGTCCTAGCTGTAGAACTATCAGCCTTCAAGATGTGGGAGCTTCCCGAGGCTATTTAGAGGTTATGTAGGGGTAACTAGGGGTTTTAGGGGTTATATCTACATTTATATATATATATATAGACACCCACACATATGTTTGTAGGAGTTTATAAGGTTTAGCCCCCTTTTCAGGAGCCCACATAAAAAGGAGTCCACAATCGAGCACCTATTTTGGAAATCCCCAAATATCTACATAGCAAATGCCTCAACCTACATCTTTGTTCACATTCTGGCGCCCAAGCCCGAAGTGCTTTGAGAGCTGTCTCTTCTCAATAGAGATTACGTCGTTAGGTGGGTGGTGGTCAAACTTGCGTGCCTTCTTTCGTACCCCCCATCATATTTTTGTGCAGTATTCCCTGAACATACGCCCCTGCATCCTCAAGCGGAAGCTGCGCGGATACGATAGTCCTGTTCAGTCTCACATGAGCTGTGTTGTCTTGACGTGGATGTGACAGCCCTTGGTGGGGGATCCAAAAAGGAATCCTTAGCGTAGGCTGACCAGGTGTTCTACAAGCAGTGGGCAGTGGGATGATGTCACAGGCAGCCGTCCAAATCACGGAGACCTCCTGATATTTCACATGCAGCTCGATTTTTTCAGTCAATTATTGGTCAGGGCATTGCATCATCATGCACCTGAAGAATAAGTGCATCACGTGGGAGAATACAGCTCATCTTGCTCCGTCCAGGAGCTGTATGTGCCGCAACCGCTCTGGCATGCCTGTCTGCTCTCTTTCCAAGCAGTAGTACACCTCAAGTCTTTACACCCCAGGTCTAGCACGGTTGCCGTATTACCTCGGACCTACTTGCTTTCAGGGAGATACTGTTGGCTTTGCGCATATTGCAAGAAGGAAGGTGTGTGGGTGCTCGCAAATTCGTTCCTTGTCAGCTACTTACATCCCCAACGTGAGCTAGGTCAATTTTGCCTTCACCCCGAACCCATCTAGTTCAGGTCATGAGAGATCAAGGTAGGCTTACTTTCTGTAGTGTCTCACCGACTAGCAGCCGTTCAAATCTACAGCTTTACGCCTAGTCGCAAGTTCCGATGTACCCTTGTGTCAAACCCTAAAATCCTAATTAATGTAGACCCCTGATTAATAAACCACCTCATGTTGAGGGCCTCAAAATCAGGATCCTCATTAGAAACCCTCTTAAGGGGAGGGGGCTTATTCGTCCCCTGAACCCTAAACCCTAAATCCTAAACCCTAAACCCTAAATCCTAAACCCTAAACCCTAAATCCTAAACCCTAAACCCTAAATCCTGAATCCTAAACCCTAAACAGGGGTGTACATTAAACTTGGGTGTATTATAGTTAGATCCCCATATACCCCCATATTCTATCTACTTGAGGGGTACTATACATTAAGCTGAGACTCCATCAGGCCCATGGGGCCAAGGCAGACAGCTTGCAATACACGAGTTCAGGATGCATGGACCCCGACCGCTGAGAAAAGCTGCCTGTGTGACAGGGCTATAGGGTTTAGGGTTTAGCATTTAGGGGTTAGGGTCTGGGGTAGAGGATTTTGGGTTTAGGGTTTTGGGTTTAGGGTCTGTCTTAGTTTAGCAGGGTTCACGCTTAGGGCGATGTCGTAGGATTGGCATGCTGCGTAGTGCGATTATTGCCGAGAAGCTGTCCTCCCCTGACCATGGAAGCTCCACAGTTGACGAATCCGTGCTTAGTGCTCTTCTGAGCTCGGTAGAAGGATCTGAAAATCTGCAGCTACAAGGTAGTTCCCGAAATTCATGCTGCCTGCTATCTACTATGGTTCATTGGAGCATACCCTGAGAAAGGGACCCCGCACTTTTTGTGGCAAATGCTCCGCAAAGCCCTCCAATAGACAGCGCACAAGATCACCTTCTTCTGTGTTTGGTGAAAGTGTTTCATAGGGATGACATATTCGTACTTGCTCAACAACCAACACCAACACGCTACTACTCAACCTACATCCTAAGCCTTACACCCTAAACTTGGTGTCTCATGTAGTTCGAATCAACATGACAAAGTGGTTTTTGCATTTTAGGGGGAATATTCAACAAAGTGGTTTTTGCATTTAAGGGAAATGTTCATTATTTGTTGGTGGTTTTAAAGTACCGGAAAGAAAGTCTTTGCCGAGTGGAATATTAGGAGATTGTGAATTGCTTAGTTGGGTATTTCCAGAAGGAGGGGTCGTCCACGCGACGTTGTAATCCTCCTTAAAGGTCTCCCATGAAGGTCTTCCTAATGGTTGGAAACCACCATGTTTAGATACGGGCTTCTGATCCTCATTCCTCAGAATTATCCCTCAAATCCCTCAACCCTAAACCCAAATGTTGGCCTTGAGAGACTTTGACCAATGAAGCAAAAATCGGTTTCCCAGATGTGGCTGACACGGTTTGCTTGCATCTGTTTGCTTGTGATCGTAGGGGCAGGGTAGGGTTTCAGGTATGTCGGTTTATCATATGATAGTACTCTAGACTAGGGTCACAGACTTAGGACCGGGGGACAACATTATGGCTATATTACCCCAATATTACCTTAGATTATCATTATATAGTCCAATATAATAAGTAGTTTCCATGTTCTTTTGCATTATCCCTATATTGCCCTAATACATATCCTATAATCCCTATATAACTAATATAACCCTATAGCCCCTGTAATGCCTGTAGTTTCCATTTTCTCTTCCATTATCTTTATATTCCCCAAATATAACCATTCGTGCTTCTATACTGTGAGGAGCCCCAAGGAGCGAACTGCAGCTCCTGCATCCATAATATACCATAATACATTATTATACATTATAATATATACTACTATGCACCACTATATAGTTTATACTGTTATATACTAGTATATGCAATTTGATACCATCATATATTATGATATATGTCCATGCAGAAGCTGGGTTTCTGTATCCATTTGTCTCAATGACGGCCTTCAGACCCTAGGCCCTAAACCCAGCTTTTAGTGCACATTGGGCTTGACAAGTGGAAGTCCAAGGAGACTCGGACTTCCAGAGCTGTAGGCCTACACCATATTATACTATTATATACTATATACTGAGATATAGTAAAAAGTACTACCATAGTATATACGATTATATACTACATAATAATACATACTACTATGTACCACTAGCTAGTTTTGCTATTATCATGTTTGAGGCAAAGGTGCCCTGGGTTCAACTAAGCAATGACATCCAACACTTAAAGCCTAGCAACATCCTGAAGTGATCCAACCCTTGTTTGTAAATCCTACTCCCAAAGTGGGAACAAGACTTCGGCGCCTCACAGCGTGGCTGTCATGGCTGCTGGGTGGCTGCCTTTCAGTCCTCGAACTGAGGAGCGCTTGAAGGGTCTGAAAATTCAGGTTTCAAGAGAGGAAGGGGAGTTGGCGGTGTTATGGTACAAGATGGACAAGGTTCTTCAAGGCTCGCCACAGCAGCTGAAAACAGAGCGGACCTGATTTCTCATCAGCAGCAGCAGAAGGCCACGACAGCAGTCCCACAAAGATAGCCCGTCTATTTTGTGAGATGCCTCAGAGCCTCGGATCAGGGCGTTAGTC